GCACTCCTGTTTCCAGCTTCTGACGGGCCCTGCGGGGTTTGGATCAGCGAGGATTTCCTGGGGTGTGAGCAGGAGCTTCTGCCCTTCCTCAGATTGCTGTGCTTGTGGCCGAGACGCAGCCTTTTGTGGCGGCTGCCTGGGGCCAGGGAGGGTGCCGGAGAGGAGCTTCATCCAGGACCCCTCTGGCCCTCGGGCGGGGCAGCTGCACCCCTTGGAGGGAAGGCTGGCATGGCAGGGCCTTTGCCAGGGGCCTTCCAGGGCCACTCCTTGGCGGCGGCGGGGCGGGGGGGCTGCGGTATGTGCCAGAGAGGGAAGGGAAGCCCCTGCGGATGCTGAGCACCAGGAGGGGTGCTGCCTTGGCCCGGGTGTGCGTGAGTGCGTGTGCCATGCACGTTTCTTGCATGAACTGCCCGGCAGGAGAAGAGCGCAGAGCCGCCTGTTCAGGGTGCCCAGAGGGATGGGCTCCGCAGATGCGCTTCCTCCGTTGTCGCGTCCTGCTGTGCTCACTGGGGCCTCCTCTGAACTCCGGCTCAGAGGAAGCTGGGCACGTCTCCTCTGCTAGCCGGAGGGGCTTCATCCAGGAGCGCGCCTTGGCTGGTGCTTGGCACATCACCCGGTGTGGCTCTTGCAAGCGGGGCTCATTTTTAACCTCCTGATCCAACAGGCAGCTCTCAGCCTGCATACTTTGCTCGGGGGGGGGGCAGTGTGCGATGCACGGGCCGCGCCGGCCTCTTGCATCACCTGTGGTGTGCGTGTTCAGGCACCTGTCCTGCGGGAGCGAGTCGGCTGTGGTGCCGCAGCGGTGCCCCCCCCCCCACGCTCCTGTGTTCCTGATCGCCTTTCGGGCCGAAGGGGGCAGCGGCCCTTCGCCCTCTTGCTGCAGCACCGGGCTTAACTTCCACAGCGGCCAGTGCGGGTGCTCAGCCCTGCCGGGCAGCCAGGGCCACTGGTGTGGGTGTCGGGGCAGCTGGGTGCGTGGAAGGGTGCTGTGGGAGGGGTGGCCTCCCTTGCAGGCACGCTCGGCCTCGGGGGCGGTCTGGACGGGAACGAGGCTGTGCGAGCGCATCCCGCCTGTTACGGCGAACGCAAAGGGGCTGCGCCAATCCATCCTGCACCCCAAGAGGGGGGGTGCCCAAAGCTCGTTCCTGCGCCAGGCTGCTGCGGACCCCCTGCCTTCCCAGCGGCTGCATGCGCATCCCAGAGGGAGCGGGGAGGGGAGCTGTTTTCCTTCTCCAGCCCAGCCCCTCACACACAGTTTTCCTTTCCGGAGGGGAGGGGCAGCCCGCCTGCCCTGCCCAGCTGAGCTGAGCATGACAATGTCCTTGTTCTTGCGCTCCCCAGAGAGCAGAGCAGCCCGGTCCCAGCGGCTCAGAACTGCCTCCTGCAGGAAGCCGCTTGTGTGGTCAAAGGGCAGGGCTTGTCCAGGAGGCGGCTGCTGCTTTGGTGACTGTACGGCTCTGCTCTGCCCAGTTCGGAGCCACAAAGGGCTCCTTCCTGCCTTGATTAGTTCAGGAACTCTGGAGCCGAAGGAAAGCCGGTCCCCTTCTTAGAGCAACAGCTGATTCTCTGGCTGAAGGAGCGGCCAGCCCCTCTGGTGCGCACTGCTTGTGGCTTGGAGGCTTGGCTTCTCGTGGCACTGCTGGCCACCCGTGGACTCGGCACGGGGCAGCCGTGTGCCTTTTGGCCAGCCAGGGCTCAGTTGCCCCCCTCCCCCCCAGCACTGACTTCTTGAGCTGCCTCTGGTTGCTTTCACCCCCTTCCCTCGCTGTGCGCCCCATAGCTTTGTTCCTGGGATGTGTTGAACGGCGACTGGAGGGAGCCCATGCCAGAAGAGCGCTTCCCTTGGTCCTGGGCGCATAGGGTGGAGGGGAGAAGCTGGCTGCTTCCCTCCCTCCCTCCCTCCCTCCCTCCAGGGGTGCAGGCAGGAGAGAAGGCTGTGCCTTGGGGGGTGGAGGATGGGATGGGCTTCCCTGCACCCTGGGCTATTCTGACTCCTTCCCTGTGGCTTGGAGTCGCCTCCCTGCAGGATTCCCGGGACCCCTCAGTGTTTGCCTGAAGAGCTGCAGGGGCCTTTCGGAGCCAGTGAGTCTGCCCCACTCAGAGGGCAAGTCTTGGGGACCCCTGCGGGTGCGTTTCTCAGTCTGCCGGTTGCTCCGTGCAGCGGCCGGCCCGGCCTCGCTCATCGGCCTCCACCTGCTTCCCCCTTCGCTGAGCCTGCAGAACGCCCTCGCCCACGTTCCTGCAGTGGCGTGTGCCCGGCAACGTGAAAGCCACGAGCCCCAGGGGGCTGAACAAGCCAGCATTGTGCCGCTCCCGGAGTGGGAGCGGATCTCGCCGTGGCCTTTTCTGCCCGGGGGCTGGAGGGGGTGAGGGCAGGGCTGGGCGGCAAGGCAGACCCAGTGGCCCTTGGCGAGCATCTCCCGCCGGGCCTGCAGCCCAGCAGGTGCCCCGGCCTGGCTTGGCCCCCTGCCCTCTTTCCTTGGGCTTCGTCTCCTGCTGGGATGCCCGCGAACAGCCCACGCTGGGTGTTGGAGGCCACGGTCCAGCTGCTGCCCCTCGGTGGACAATGGCGGCTGTTTCCAGCGTGCTGCAGCCGCTCGGGGGGTGAGCTTAGCCGTGGGCCGAAGGCTCCAGCGCGAGGCTCTTCCCAGCAACAAGCTGCACGGAACCGAGCTGGGCTCCCGTGGGCCTGTGCCGGTCGCCTCCCCGTGAAAGCAGGCCGAGAGCCGCCGTGGGAAGGAGGGTCTCGTTCCGTCCCCTGCGGCCCGTTCATGCTGCCCTCGTGCGACGCCTCTTGTTCTGCTCCTGCATGGCTTGGGCTGATCCCGGGGCCGTCCCCAGCACCCGTAGGCCGAGGCTGTGGCTGCAGTGTGGCAGATAGCCCTGCTGCCCGGCCGGACCAGCTCCCATCAAGGCTGGGCGCCCGTTGGCACTGCTGGCCCGGCAGCCGAGCACCACAGGACTCCAGGAACCCCCGGCTCCCTGCTCTCTGCCAGCGCTCAGAGGTGCCCTGCTCCTAGATGGAGATCCCTGGGCCACCCTGAGCACGGGCAAGAGCACTCCTCTCTCCCGAGGCATCCGGGCGAGCTGCGAGAGCTTCCCAGCATGCTGCCAATGCGTTGCCCTCAGGACGTTTGCGAGCGGCAGCTCCCCTCAACCTGAAAGGGCCCAGCTGCTGGCGAGGGTTGGAGTGAGCAGCTGGCCAGACACACCTGGAGCGCCCTGTCCTCATCCCTGCTTGAGGACCCGAAGAGCGAGTCCTTGGGTGCTGTGGGCATATGGGGGGCACGTGTGAAGAAGGGCTTCGTCGCCAGTTCCTCAGGGGACCCCAGGCGCCTGTCCTCTTGGTCGTTCCGTGCCCAGCCCACCTGTTTCTTTGCCCCATTATGATTCCTGTGCTGGGCCACCCCCAGGGCCTCTCCAGCAGCGGCCGAGGGGTGGGGGCTCCGCCGTCCCGGCCCCCCATGTGTGATCATTCGCAGGAGTGCTGGGGAGGGCAGCCCACCCTGGCAGGGGAGGGGGCTGCATTGGGGTGTCCCCCGGGCCGCGCCCCCTCCTGGGCTGCTGCCCTGAAGGGACGGCCTGGGCCTTCACTCCGACTGGATGCTGCGGGGCAGAGGCGTTTCGGAAGCGCTCCTGGAATGCCAGCAATGCCCGGGAGGGCTCGGCCGCGATGCAGGGCCCCTTTGTCCGCCCGGGCCGGGGAATGCGAGGCATGGAGCCCTGACCTTTGGGGGAACGGCGCGGCGTGGGCCCCAGAGCCGGGCGTGGGAAAGAAATGCCACCCCTGGGCTGGAGCTTGGGATTCCTCTGGGAAGAGGCCGGAGGGGCGGGCAGCAGCGGATGGCCTGCCTGGCCCAGCGGCTGGGGGGGAGGGGGGTCTTCTCAGGGCCTCTGCAGCCAGGCAAAGGTGCCCGCCCGGTCCAGGGAGGAGGTTGTGCCCAGCCGCCCAAAGGGCCGTGGGGGGGGAGGCACTGGGGCTGGTCGAGACCCTCGACCATGGGCTGCACGGAGGCCAGTGGGCCTGCTCCAGGGCGGCTTCGCTTGGCAGCTCGCGGGTGGCCCTTTCTGGCAGACCCGCGCGTCAACGTCGGCCGCAAGGTGCACAGCCGGCGAGTCTCTGCCCCTGCAGCAGCTGCTCCGTGCGGCTCGCCTGCTCCGTGCGGCTCGCCTGCTCCGTGCGGCTCGCCTGCTCCGTGCGGCTCGCCTGCTCCGGTTTCCCCACTCGGCCAGAAGGTGCAGCGCAATTGTTTTCGGACCCAAGTGGGAGCAGTTGCGCCACCTGAGCTTCCCGGGAATGGACTCGCCTTGGTTGCCTGAGGCCGCCGCCGTGTGCTGCTTCCTGCTGCCCTTTCCCCCCCTTGGGCACTTTTCTGTTGTCACATTTTAATATCTTGGGTGGTATGTTATTCGTTTTGTGGACCGGTGTTGCCTAGTGGTGAGCGCTGGAGTGGCACTTGCAAGGTTCTGCTTCCGGGGCCACTTGGCCTGGATGATCTCCGGGTGTCCCTGGGTAGTCAGGAACGTGTGGCCCGGCCCATCTTACGGGGTGGTTGTGGAAGGAAGAGGACTCTGCGCGTGGCCTTGGGTCCTTTTCCAGAAGGGTCATGTACCAGCAACGCAACGCAGGTCAGCTGCCGTGGGGTGTTTCAGCGGCCCGAAGTGTGAGCTGGATGTTTCCCACAAGACATGAAGCACGTGGGACGTGGACTGCCGAGCCACATAGGGCCGCGCTTGGCACGGCTGTTCTGCCCCTGGAAGGCTGCCCCCTGGAGGGGCGGTGGCTCGCCGGGGGCCAGTTGGGGCCTGGGCAGGGGGCAGGGCCGAGTTCTGCCGGGGATGGGCTGGCCTGACCCGAGAGCCACGGTCCCATCATCCACAGCAGGTCTGCAGGCGCCTACCTGGGGGTGCCGAGGAGGAGGGGGGCTGTGCTTCGGATTGCTAACAGAGCCTTCCTTTCTTCCTGCAGCCGCAGCGGGCCGCCCGCCAGAGAGCCGCGTGCTTCGGACGAGACACCAAGCGGCGGTACGTGGCCTCGGCCTGCTGTCCCGTGGAGTCGCCTGCCCCGGCCGGCCCAACCCGGGGGCCCACAAGCCACAGCACCCTCCCGCCCGTATTCCCCAGCAATGCACTGGGGCAGAGAGTGGAGGGGACATGGTCCGAGTAGCTCTCCCCTCCATGGCTCTGCCCAGCCCCTACATCGCCACGGTGGCACCCGGAGGAAACGCCTCTCGCCCGCCGGCTCTGTGCCCCGGGACTTCTGTGGGCTCCCCAAATCTCCCTCGGCCGGTTTCCACCCAGGGCCTGGTGCTGCGGGACGAGACGCCCACTTTCTCCGCACCAGCTCTGGCCTCTGGTTAGAGGATTAACAGCTTCATATTTGAGCTCTTTAAGATTCAGGGCCAATGATGTTCCGCTGTTTCATTCATTCGCCAGCCCCAGGACGCCTCTCCCGCCCCCCGCCTTGGGGCACCGGGTGCCCTTTCTGCAGAGCACGTCGGTCCCGGTGCCCAGCATTTGCTGTGCCGAAAACCAGTGCGAAGGACACCGATGGCCCATGTGCCAAGCTGGCCTCCTGTTTCTGATGTGCTGAAATATGCACACATAGAGAGACACACACACACAGTTTCCAGAGAACCCCGCTACCTGCTTGCATCCCTTCTCCCGGCGCCTGTGCTGCTTTTGTCCCCTGCGGGGTTGGCGCTTCAAGGCAGCTGGACGGAGTGGCTGTCGGGGATGCTGCTCGGGGTGCCCAGGGCCGCCCCCTCTGGCCAGCGCCCAGACCTCCTGCTTGCGGGCGCAGGGGGCTCTTGCCCCACACGGTTCCACCTTCGCGGGGCAGTGGGTGGCTGTCTGGAGGGGTGCCTCACCTCTCGCCTCTCCTCTGCCCCCAGGTAACGGTGCTGGGGGGGAATGAGCAGCCTGCCCCTCACCAGGCCCCTGCAGGCTCCCAAGCGCTCCCGTCCCCGGAGGAAGCCAGTGGCGCAGAGAGAGCGGTGGGTCTGGCCGGGGAGGTCTGGCAGCTGGGAGGGCATGGGGGGGGGGGGGGCGCTGCTGTGGCCGCTGGTCCTGACCGTGCCCGTCAGGGGCACCCCTTCAGCACCTGAGCCAGGGGAGATGTGGCCACCGCCTGCCCTGCTCCTGGGGGCACTGAGGGGACCAGGCTGCTCTGGGTTGCAGGGCCCTTCTGTCCTCGCACTGCCAGAGAGACAGAGGCATGTGGCAGACGGGCGGGGCGGGTGGGTGGCCCTCTGTGGGCCCCGGGGGAATTCTCCCATTTGGGAGCCGGGGGTGGGTGGGAGGGCAGGCTCAGCCACCCCTGCAGCCCTGTGCCCTGGCGCCAGCTCGGGCGGGCCTGTGGAGCTGCTCCAAGCAGCCCTGCCCCAGGGCCCTCCTCCCCAGGGGCCGGAGCCACCCCCTGCCCTGGCTGCCCTGGCGTGGCGGAAGCAGCTCCCGGGTGGTGCTGGGGGGCCGTGCAGGGGGGAGGCGCCTGTCCTGACTGTGCTCGGTCCCTTCCAGGCCCAGAAGGAGAAGCTCCATGCGGAGCTGAAGCGGGTTCTGCAGAGGAAGGGGGAGAGCCGGCGCAGCACGGAGGAGGAGGAGCCCCCTGCGCCCCCCAGCAGGATGGAGGCCCAGCAAAGCACCATGGAGGTGAGCACGGGGGCGCTGCAGAGCCCGAGGCCGGCAGGGAGGGATCTGATGTCCCACTCCTTCTGCCTTGGGGGCGGGAAGCCTTGTCTGCCGGGGTCAGAACCTTCAGGGGGGCCCGGGGGGGGGCAGGTGCCCCGCAGGGCAGGAGTGGCTGTCCTGTGTCCCCCCCCCCACTCTCCCACGTGCCCCGGCCTGGGGGGGTCGGTGGCACCGCATGGCTAGCAGGATGCAAGAGGGCGCCCTCCGTTTGGCTGAAGCAGCAGCAATTGCTTTGGGCTGGGGGTAGCTTGGCATTGCCCCCCCCCCGCCAATACCTGGAACAGCACCTGAAGCGTGCTGAGGAGATGCGGCACAGGTGCCGGCCGCAGCGTTCCTGCAGAAGGAGGGCTGCTGGAGGCGAGCTTTGGCCCCAGGCAGGCAGGCAGGCGGCAGGAAGGACCGGACATGGACGTGGCGCCACCCGAGCGGGTCTGCCCAGACCGGGGAGGGGGGACCTGCAGCTCTCCCTGGCCTCGGGGCAGTATCCAGGCGATCCGCGGGGGCGGGGGCGGGGCTAAGGGCTCTTCACCCACCTGGCTGCTTCTCCCCTCGGCAGAAGACCCTAGAGACCTCCGAGCTGCTGGAGGTCATCGTGGAGACTGAGGCCGAGGCCGGCGTCCGCGGCATGAGCGTGGCCGGGGGCGGCAAGGAAGGCCTCTTCGTCAAGGACGTGCTGAAGGGCTCGCCGGCAGCGCGCGTGCTCAGCCTCCAGGAGGGTGAGTCGCCTCCAAAGGGGCCGCCGCGTGTGTGGGACGGAGAGGGAAGCCCGGCTGGGGAGCTGCAGTCGGTGCTGCCAGGCCGGCGAGGCTGCTGGGCCCCCGTCTGTTGGTGCCCGCGGGACAGGCCTCCCATGGGAGGGACGCTTTGGGGCAGGACTCCCGCTGTGCCGACACCAGACCGACCTGTGGAATTCCAGGCAGGGTGCCCAGAGGGTGCTGCCCCACATCCGTCGCCCTCCTGGGTTTTCCTGCCTTTTGGAAATGGAATGTTTGGCAGGAAAGTGCCCTGGAAGAGGTCCCTGCGGGGTCCTGGCTGTTGGCGCAGGGAGGGGCCCACGGGCCGGACGCAGCCACAGCCGGCTCAGGGCTTTGCGCGTGGCTCGTGCAGGGGCCAGGGGCCCCGAGCCATCTCTCTGCTGACTGCCCCCTCCCTGTCCCCCAGGTGACCAGCTTCTGAGCGCCAGGGTTTATTTCGACAACATAAAGTACGAAGATGCCTTGCAGATCCTCAAGTGCGCCGAGCCGTACAAGATCTCCTTCTGCCTGAAGCGGACGGTGCCCAGTGCGGGGATCGCCCACAAGCCCGGCACGCCCGGCTTTGAGATCCGGGGCCCCAGAGCCAAGGTGGCCAAGCTGGTAGGTTGCGCGAGGGGAGGCTGCGTCCTGCACCACCTCGTGGCCTCCCCACCAGGCACGCAAGGTGCTCCAGAGCCCGTCTGCCCAAGAGCCAAAATTCCGCAGGTGCTTCACAGCACTTCCTAAAATGCAGTAAAAACCTAAAATTTCACTGCAGCTGTTCAACTTGCCCCTTCCTTGCTCTGTGCCCCCAGAAGGTGCTTGGCCGGGGGATGGCGATTCACGCGGCACCCACTTCTTTCTGCAGAACATCCAGAGCTTGACCTCACTGAAGAAGAAGAAGAAGAAGGTGGTGCCGAAGGGACTGGCCAAGGGCCTGCAGGAAGCAGAGATGCACGGCAGGGCTGAGGACCCGGCAGCCGGGAAGCTGGAGGTGGTGCCGGTGGACGTGGAGTTTTCCCTGCCCAAATTCTCCAAGCTGCGCAAAGCCAAGAGCGCCGGGGAGGTGGCAGCCGCCGAACCAAGCCCAGACATCTCTCCCCGCCTCTCTTCTCTGGAGACCAGGCGGCGCAGGCTGAAGTTCCCCAGGCTGAAGGTCAAGGAAGTTGTGGCGGCCACCACGGGGGCCCGAGTAGAGGGGCCCGGGAGCCGCCTGGAGGTGGGCCTGCCCAAGCTCGCCGTGGAGCTGAATGCGGGGGCCAAAGGAGACACTGAGGAGAAGGCGTCCAGGTTCACGGTGCCCTCCTCCAAGGCAAAGGCGGCCAAGGGAGAGGCGGGGGGCCCCGTGGAAGCTGGATTCCAGCCCCCGCAGGTGGAACTTGACCTCCCCCTGCCAAAGACTGAGCCCCGTGGGGAGTCACCGAAGGCCAGTGCGAAGGGGGAAGGCTTCCGGATCTGGGCCCCTCAGGTTGAGCTGCCGAAAGTGAGTGCCGTGCAGCTGGAGGTCCCAGAAGGCGGCAGGCTGAAGCTCCCCGTGGCAGAAGTGGCAGCACCCAAGATAGACGTGGACCTGAGCCTTCCCAAACTGGAGGGTCCTGCCCCAGCGGTTGCCCCCAAAGGGGAGGGCTTCAGAATCAAAATCCCCAAGTTCGGGGGCTCTGTGGAGGAGGCAGAGCTGAAGAAGCCCTCCGCCAAGGCCCCGACCGCCGAGGTCTCCCTGGCAAAAGGCAGAGCCAGAGTGGGGGAGGCAGAGGAGAAGCTGAAGGCCGGGGTGACGATGCCAGCCCTGGATGTCGGGGCCCCTTCGGTGGACCTAGAGATCCCCCTGCCGAAGGCGAGGGTGGAAATGGAGGTCCCAGAGGTCTCTGTCACGATCCCCTCGGTCAGCCTGCCCGTGCTGGGCCCTAGAGCCCCAGAGGAAGGGGAGAGCAAGCTGCCCCAGGTGGCCCTGAGTGTCGGGAAGCTGGAAAGCCCCAAGACCAAGGCCAAAGGCCCCAAGGAAGTGGGGGGCGAGGGCAGAGCGAGGTTCCCTGTGGTGAAGGTGCCCTCCCTCGACATCTCTGTTCCCAAGGTCAGTGACATGCACCTTCCCGGGACCGCGGGGGAGCCCCTTGCCCCTGCCAGGAAGGAGAAGACGGGGGAGGCCGCTGAAGTGCCTGGGTTCAAGTTCCAGATGCCCCAAATCTCGCTCCCCAAATTAGACCTCCCAGCCAAGGCAGCGGCGTCCCCACCCCAAGACCGCGGCAAGTTTCCAAAGCCGGAAGGCGACTCTGCTGTGCAGGTCAGCATCCCCAAGGTGGACCTCTCCTTGCCGTCGCTGAAGCTGCCAGACGTGCCGCTCCCAAAGGCTCCCCTGCCGAAGCCGGCACTGGACGTCTCAGTGGAGAAACCCAGGGTGGAGGTGGCTGCTCCTTCGGCTCGGCTGAGCTTTCCGTCTGCGACCGTGCCGGTGCTCGAGGTCGACTGGCCCCAGGTCGGGATTGAGCTGGATTTGCCCAAGGCGGAGAGAGAGTCCGCGGTGCCTGCAGACCAGGGAGCCAAGTGGCAGGTGCCCGCGCTCGATGCGGTGAGCAAAGGCTTGGCAGTGGAGATCAGCGTGCCCACCTGCCAGGTGGACCAGCCCGAGCTGGAGCCGAGTGCCCGCGGGACCTTGGGGGGGCCAGGTGTCAGCGGGGTGGTTGCCATGATCCCCAAGGTGGACCTGGCTTTCGGGAAGGAGCTGGCAGTGGCCGAAGGGGAGCCTGGAAGGGAGGCGAGCCTGGGGCTGAGGGGCAAGGTGCTGCCAGCAGCTGCCCTGGAGCTGAAAGGCCCTGAAGTGGGTGCCGGGATAAAGCTGCCCTCTGTGGAGATTCCAGCCGTGCAGCTGCCGGCGGTGACCGTGGAGAGCGCCCAGCCCCTCGAGCCTGACTCCAAGCGAAAGCTGGCCAAGTTTGCCCTTCCTAAATTCAGTATTTCTGGCCCCAAAGTCCGGAAAGCGAGCCCAGAAGCCTCGACGCCAGAGGCTGAGGGCCCAGAGGCTGCCGACAGAGGCTCCAAGATGAAAATGCCAAAGTTTGGGATCTCGTTCCCCAAATCGAAATGGGGGGCAGAGGTGGAAGGCCCCCAACTAGAGCTCAGCATTGAAGGGAAAACAGCCAAGCCAGCGCTTGGGGCAGCCCCTGAGGCTCTGCTGGGCGTGGATTCTTCGGAGACCCGGATGAAATTGCCCGCGGTGGATGTTGAGATGCCCAGAGTGGCTGTAGACATCGGCCTTCCTGGAGGGCAGGCGGAGTGGTCTGGTGAAGAACCTGCAGGCCCCTCCCCAGGGGTTGGGGTTGACCTTCCAGACATCAAGCTGAAAGTGCCGAAGTTCTCGTTGCCCAAGTTTGGGGGCAAAGACAAGGAGGGTGACCTTGAGCTTGAGGGCAGGGTGGACTCCAAGGCCAGGGTGTCCAAGTTCAAGATGCCTTCCTTCGGCATAACGCGGAGAGAGGCGGAGGTGGGCGGAGATGCCAAGGCAAAGAAGGCCGCGGGGAGTCCCAAGGAGAAGCCTCGGGGCGCCTTTGTGAAGATGCCGGGGCTGAAGCTGTCCTCCCCCAAGGCGGAATCAGAGAAAGGGCCATTGCACATCCAGGCTCCAGAGCTGGAGGTGAAAATCCCCCAGGTGGAGCTGCCCAAGATCAGCGTGAAAGGGGCCAGCGCAGGGGAGGTGCTGATGGGGGCGGAGAGCCCCAGCCTCAGGGCGAAGCTGCCCTCCCTGGAAATCACCGTGCCCTGCCCCAGGGCAGGAGGGGAGAAGCCAGGGGTGGATGTGTCAGAGGCTGACATCAGAGGCTATGAGGGTGACCTGAAGATCCCCAAAGTGCCTTCCATTGAGGTCTCTGCCCCCAAAGTCGAGCTGGACATTGGGCTGCCCAGGGCCAGTGCAGAGGAACTGGTGCCCCAGGGCGCGCCCAGCATGGAGGCCAAGATCCGGCTGCCCGCTGTGGAGCTCCCAAAGTTCGGGAAGGGCGAGTACGGGGGGGCGGAGGCAGCCGTGCAGCTGCTGGGGCAAAGACTTAGTCTCGGGAGGGAGGGCGAAGCCGAGGGTGAGGGGGGCGCTGAAGCCTCCCTCTTGGGTGCCAAGATCCGGGTGCCCAAAGTGGACCTCTCCTTGCCGAAGACGCGGCTTTCGGATGTGGAGCTGCCCCTGACAGAAGGGGAGGCGGCTGCCGAAGGACCGGAGGGCAGGTTCAAGATGCCTTCGGTCGAGCTGACAAAGTTCTCTGCCCCCAAAGTGAAGGCGCCTGACCTCAGCTTGGAGGGGAGCAAGGTGCCCAAGGTCACCGTGAGTGGTCCTGCCATCAAGCTGCCCACATTCGGGGGCTCCGGCTCAGATGGGGAGGGAGAGACTGAGTCGGAGTTGCCCCGGGTCCCACAGCTTGAGCTGAAGGCTCCCAAGCTCAGGGGGAACTCTGAGATGCGGAGCCCTGAAAGCGGGGCAAAGGACGCTAGCCGGACCAGGGTGCCCTCCCTGCCCCTCGGCTTGGCTCTGGGGAAGCCAGGCTTGGAGGGTGGGGTGGTAGTGGACGAGGGCAAATTCAGGCTGAAGCTCCCCTCCGTGAGTATCACCAAGGCAGGAGTGGAGTCCAGCACGGACACCCAGCCCCTCTGCCCCCCTGCCGAGGGGGCCGACCTCTCCTTCAAAATGCCCCAGATTGCTTTGCCAGATGTGGGGTTCTCTGTAGACCACGAGGGGAAGGGAGGGGCCAGAGGGGAAGCTGGGAAGCTGGCAGGCCTGGGAGGGGATGTGGGGGGGTTGGAGGCCCGGCTGAAGATGCCCAAGCTCAAGGTGCCAGCCTTCGGGGCGCCCAGCCCCCAGGGGGGTGTGGAGGCTGCCGCTGCTTCCCTCAGTGGGAGGGACCTGGAGGGGAAAAGGGCGGCATTCAAGATGCCTGGCTTGGAGATCTCGGCCCCCAGCCTCAAAGCACATGCAGAGTATGAAGTGGAGGGGGCACAGCTCCGGCACGGGGGCTCCCAGGGCCCGGAGGTGGCAGGCCGAAGGGGCACCGATGGACAGGGCCCTGGAAGCCGAGGGGAGGCCGTGGATGCCGAGGTCGGGAGGAGGTACAAGGTGAAAATCCCCAAGTTTGGGCTCTCTCTGCCCAAGGCAGGCCTGGAGGCCGGTGAGGGCACCCCAGGGCAGGAGGGGGAGGGCAGGGCCACGCGGTCGGTGTTCGGGCTGGGCAGGCCCAAGGGGGCCGGGGCAGAGGGCTCCTCCGGGCTCCTGGAGGGCGAAGACGAGTCCTCCGGCAAGGGGGTGATGGCCAAGCTCAAGCTGAAGCCGGCCTTTGGGCTCTCCCTCTCCAAGCCCAAGGGGGGCGCGGAGGTCAACGGGGAGCCCGAGGAGCCTTCCGCAAAGCTGAAGGTGCCCCGGCTGGGCTTCTCCAAGGCGGAGGGGGCCGCCCAGCTCGGCGGGGAGGGGGCCAAAGCAGCCCTGCAGAACGGCGGCCAGGATGGCAAGGGCAAGCTGGGCAAGCTCCGGCTGCCGCAGGTGGAGCTCTCGTCCCCCGCCCCGATGGGCGGCGCCGACCCGGAGCTGAACCTGCAGCTGGTGCGGGCCGACGAGGCCCGGGAGGGCGGCGGCGGCGCCTTTGCTTCCCTCCGGGCCGCCAGGCTCAAGTCCCCCAAGATCTCCTTCTCGGGCTTCAAGAAGCGCAACGGGGAGGCGGCGCCCGCGGCCGTGCTCTCCTCTGCCCGGACAGAGATGGCTTCCCTGGAACCGGCCAAGGGGGAGAAGGCCTTCAGCTTCCCCAAGCTGGCGCTGAGCCCCAAGTCCCACGCGGGGCTGGAGGCCGCGACTGAGCCCCTGGAGCAGGAGGGCGGGGTCAAGGTCGCGCTGCCCAGGGTGGGCTTTTCCGGCGACCGCAGCTCTGAGGAGCCGATCCTGGAGGCGGCGGCGGCGGCGGCGGCAGGGGGGGTCGAGGCCAGAGCGGAGTGAGCGGCCCGGCCCGGCGCAGTGCTCGGCTCGCGCGCTCTTCCAGTGTAACGTCTAGCACTAACCATGAGGGGGGGGGCGGGCCGGCGGGGGGGGGGCATTTGCACGCACCCCAATGGGTGCTCCTCGTCCGTGCTGCGGCTCCCCCGCCGGGCGGCGTTCTTCGTCGGAGGGCGATCTGAGCGGAGACGCGCTTTGCAGTGCTTTCCGTTACCACCCAGGGCAGATGCACCCCCTCCGCGCCCCCTCCTGCCTCCCTGAGCGGCCGCTTTTATGAAACTAACCGAAGAGCTACGGGGTGGGGAGAGAAGGGGGGGTTCGGCGCCCCCAGGTGGAGGGGCGCCGGGCCTGGTGCATCTCCCGTCCTCGCCTCCCTCGCAGATGGCGGGCATTAGGGAGAGGGGAGGGGGCACGGGGCGCCTCGCACGGGGGAGGCGGCCTCGGTGGGGGCCCCTGACATTTGTGTGGGCTTGGCGAGGGGACGGCACCATCAAAAGCCTCATGGGGGGTGCTCGCCAAAGGCACCCCTCCCGCGGTGGAACGTCCCTCACGAATGCCACCGGGAGGGAGCGCCTCTGGCACTGAATGCCGAAGGGCCGCCGGGGGGTCCGCGTCCCCGCGGGAGGAGCGCCGACCTCGGAGGGGGCGAGGAAGGGCCCCGCGTCCCGACCCCAACGCGGACGCCGCTCTCCGGAGTCCCTGCTCGGGGTCGCCCTCGCGGCGGTGGTTCCACCAGTGCGCGACGCATTTTACTCGGGGGAGGAGCGAGCGGAGCCCCCTTCTTTCCTGCAAACCATTTAGCTGCGCCCCCCCCCCGTGGCCTCGTTTACACCAGCCCAAGCCGAGCCCGGCGCCGTGCCAGGCAGACCTCGCCAGCCCCGCGAAGGGAACCCGCCTGCTCTGCGCTGGGGGGCCGTGTGCCGCGCTGGGACCCCTCCGGGGACCGGCTCCTGGGGGCGGAGGTGGGGGCAGAGGGGATTTCTTCTTGCTCTGAGATGTACAGAAATCTTTTATTCTAATTTTTAACAACACATGCCTGCTGTGGTGGGCTTCTATTTTTGTCACTAAAAAAATTCCAGTAACCACCTTTTTGCCAGATTGTATGTTTAATTACTTAAAAAAATAAGGTAGCTGCACTGTATCTTCAATGCCCGATACTACTGCCGTGCCCCCCCTTCCTGTTCTGGATTTGAATAAAAAGTAATCTGCGGACTAGCTCTCCTGCCTTCTGCCTCCTCTTTGCAGGGCTCCTTGGGCTGCAGCCCTGCACAGGGCGAGATACCCCACGGGACTGGCCCTATAGCGAAGGGGTGGGGGGAGTGGTTTGACCCATCTCTGGGGCAGGGGATGCAGAAAGCAGAGGGGCACATGTGGTCAGGTGCAAAAATCGGATTTTCTTAGCCTGCCCCTGCCCACACGTCCCGCAACAGCCAAGTTCACTCCGGAGCCTTCGGCAAAAGCCTTTTGGATGTCCACGGACGTGATGTCCACTGGATGTCCACCAGCTCAAGCTGTGCACGTTTACTGACCCTCACGAAGATCCTGGATGGGGCTCTACCAAAAAAAATGGCCAGAGGTCTTCACACCCGTCCACGGACACTGCAAAGGCTCCCAGGTCAGGGCTGCCCTTAACCTGCATCCATTTAAGTAATTCAGCCCGCAAGGCCCAGTCCCGGCACTGCAGTGAGGAGTGACCACGCGGCGGAGGCGGGGGGCGCCTGCTTGGTGCTCTGAGCCACTGGCCCCCCGCGGCCCGAGCCAGGCGGGCAGCGGCCGCCATAACAGAGCCGCGTGCGCACGGCAACTTGGAACCAGGCCGACTGTTGCATCACCCCGTGTTCCGGGAGGGGCCGGGGGTTCTCTCGGCTCCAGGCAGCTCAACCTCTCTTTGCACAAAGCGCTCTGCACCCGCGTTTCTGCGCTCAGGTAGGCACAGAACGATGGTCACAATTGAGTCCGACTCAGACTTCTACGACGTTTTTGAGATCCTGGGAAAAGGCACGTTTGGGGAAGTGGTGAAGAGCTGGAAGCGCAGCACCGGGGAGATGGTGGCCATAAAAATCCTGAAGAACGACTCCTATCGCAGCCGGATCATCAAGAACGAGCTGAAGCTGCTCCAGACCATGTCCGAGGTGGATACAGAGGCCGCCCACATCGTCCAGTTCCATGAGTTTTTCCACGATGAGCTCAAGTTCTACCTCGTCTTTGAGCTGCTGGAGCAGAACCTCTTTGACTTCCAGAAGGAGCACAACTTCTCCCCGCTGGCAGTCCGGCACATCCGGACGGTGACCACGCAGGTCCTGAGAGCCCTGGCCAAGCTGAAGGAGCTCTCCATCATCCATGCAGACCTGAAGCCTGAGAACATCATGCTGGTGGATCAGGTGAGATTTCCTTTCCGTGTCAAGGTGATCGACTTCGGCTCGGCCAGCATCTTCAGCGAAGTGCGCTACGTCAAAGAGCCATACATCCAGTCCCGCTTCTACCGAGCCCCCGAGATCTTGCTGGGCCTGCCCTTCTGCGAGAAGGTGGACGTGTGGTCCCTGGGCTGCGTCATGGCGGAGCTGCACCTCGGCTGGCCGCTCTACCCTGGGAACAACGAGTATGATCAGATCCGGTACATCTGCGAGACGCAAGGGATGCCCAGGCCCACCCTCCTCAATGCAGCCAGGAAGGCCCACCTCTTCTTCAAGAGGAGCCAGCACCCAGAGGTCGCCAACTCCTGGCAGCTGAAGACCCCGGCGGAGTTCCTCGCGGACACCAAGGTGAAGTCCATGGAAAGGAGGAAGTACATGCTGAAGTCCCTCGACCAGATGGAGACCGTGAACATCCACAAGATGATCTACCCAGACACGGAGGCGGTGGCCGAGTACTTCGACCTCCGCAGCATGGTGGAGCTCATCACGCGGATGCTGACCTGGGACTCGCACGAGCGCATCACCCCCAGTGCGGCCCTGAAGCACCCCTTCATCTCCACGCAGCCGCTCAAGCAGAACTACCACCTCACCCAGTACTACGAGTGCTGCCTGCGGAGCCTCCGCGAGTCCCTGCCCAGCCGCGGCACGGCCCCGGCCCCGGCGGGGGGCAGGCAGCTCTGCACCGCCGTGGAGGAGGAGCGCTTCTTCCCCACACCGGAGCCCTGCCCGGAGACTGTGCCCGGCGTCCAGAAGACCACCACCCAGATGGACGACCTCAGCATTGCGGAGGCCCACCGGGAGGCGCCCCTGAACGTGTGGGGTGAAGCGCCCTGCGCGGGGGGGCTTTTTGAGTCCCCCTCCGGCCCCACAGAGGCGGCCTCCGGCTGGCGCAAGGCCACCCACCCGACCCTCCGGCTGCGCCACGAGCCCGCGCAGCAGGAGCCCATCCCGGCCTACTACAGGGCCCGGCACGGCAGCCCCAAGCACCGCACGGCGGCCCCCCATGCCAAGCCGGACCCCAGCTTTGAAAACCTGATCCTGCTGGGGCAGTACTCCCCCGAAGGCCCACCAAGCTGGGAGGAGGAGAGCAACCCCAGCACGGCCTCCCTGCCAGAGCCCCACGCGAGGGAGGAGCCCAGCTGCCCCCAGGGCCGTGCGCTCTCGCCCGCTGCTCAGGTAAGGGGCTCTTGGCCGAATGTCTCTGGGGAAGCGGGAAAGGGCCACGGGCCAGCCCCTCGGGGAGGAAGCCCTTTGCCACCAGAGTGACGAGCCGGCCCTCCTCTGGCCGGGGCCCCGGGAAGAGGCACCTCCGGCCAGAGCTGGAAGTGTGGCAGCCAGCTTCTCGGAAAGTGTCGCCTGGCCTGAGCCAGGAGGTGGGGTGGGGCAGTCCGATCAGAGCATTAGCAGCAGCGGGTGTGACGCTGCCCCACTTCTTGGACAGAGCTTAGGTTAGAGATGCCCTGGCTGGACCGGAGATGCTGCAGGGAGCCGGAGAGGGCCCGCCGTGTGGAGACGGAAGACTCTCTTCGCTGATGTATCGCCTGCCCCTCCTCAAACATATTGCTCCAGGCAACCAGCAGTCAGATGCAGAGCAAAAGCGAGATATGACTGAAAGCATAAAGCCGCAGCACATTCCGCACACACAGACCAGCAGCACCCAACCCAGCCAGCTGCTTGTCCAGGCAGTGCAGTCGAGATGCCAAAGGCCTGCCTGCAGGAGAGCGGTCCTCTCTCCCTTTCCGTGTCCCCCGCCCCCGGGAAATGTTGGCTGCCAGATGCCCCCTCAGAGCCAGGACACCCCTTGCCCATGAGGCCACGCTTTGCCCTCACTTTGATCCCCTTGTGGTCAGGGAGCACCAGCGCAAGAAAAGCAGGAGGTGATGCAACCTCGCACTGGGCTTCCGGTCTCTCTCTCTTTCCGACACCCATCCCTGCACTCTGCATATGGGCGTCTCAGCCCCCGTTCCCTCCTGCTGAAAGAACCTTCCCTCTTTCGCCAGCTCCCTGGGCCCCTGGGAAGCCTCCACTGCTTCCCTTTGGACCTTCCAGATAGTTTATAGCTTATGAGAGGGAGAGGGAGAGGGAGAGGGAGAGAGAGAGAGAGAGAGAGAGAGAGAGAGAGAGAGAGAGAGAGAGAGAGATCAGGTTTCTAAAAAATAGAATGAAAGCCTGTTCAAGGCTAGAACATTTAAGATGCATTTATTAATTGTATTATTCGGAGAGCGATACTGCTTCCCAGAAAAGTATCAAAGTGGTAAACATAAAACACAATGGCATCAAAACAACTACACACCCAATCATAAAAGCCATGACCACACACACATCGGGGCAAGCTGGCGCGAAGAGCGTGTTTCAGGGAGGCAGCTGAGGGTCAGGACTGCGCAGCCTGCCTGCAGCCCCTGGTCAGGCACGGCAGAGCGTGGGTGCCCTGCCCGGGGTGCTTCAGAGAACCGGAAGCTTCAGGCATGCGCTGCTTCCGATGCTCCGGAACACGAGGAAGCAGCCCTCCCTAAGGAGCACGTGGCGTGTCAAGCCTGCCAGCCCGACCTTGGCCGGGGGCTGAATGGCGAGGGGGAGCAGCTTCCAGCCAGGCGGCCTCAGCTAGCAGCCCCACGCACAGCAGCCACAGCTCCTGGGCCAGGCCCAAGGGGTGCCCCACGCCTGGCGTGCACAGCTGGCGCCTGGCTTCGAGGCCCGACGTGCCCGCACCACTGCGGCTGAGCCGGGCACAGAAAAGCCAGAGGCCCAGGCTTGGTCTCGGGAAGAGCAGCGGTTGCCTGCGGCTGTCTCGGGTGAGTGGGGGGGGGCGGGGGCCTGCATGTCCGGGGGCCTGTTGCCAGAGGATGCTCCCTGGAAAGGGGCTGGGGTGCGCGCGCGTGGGCGTGTCTGTCCATCCTCTGGCTTTGGACTTTCCACTCCTGGAACGACACCCCGCATTCGACCCGAACTGCTCTCCGCCCTCCCACCTGCCTTCCTGTGGCAAGCGTTGCACTGAGGCCAGGAGCGCCCCCTTGGCAACCCACGAGCTTGTCTTGGGGAGCCACGTCCCGCCAAGTGTTCCAAAATGAAGGAGCGACGTGAGCAGTGGGGATCCCACAGGGAAATGGGCCCCTTTCCAGGTCGGCGCGTGACTCGTTCAGAGACTGTGGGAAGGTGGGAACACCCGGTGGGCGCGGCCACGCTGGTGCTCACGTGCTAAACCAGGGAAGAGCAGGTTCCGTCACATCTGGCCTGGAAAGTTCCCACTCAGGGATGCAGAGGAGATGGAGTGAAGTATCTGGTGGAGGGGGGACCCCCCCGTGTACTGACGAGGTTTGCCCATGTGGCCACCCCTGGAAGGGAAAATCTGGGGTCTCCGCAGAGAGCTGGGATGGCCGGCGCTGGGTGGGTGGAGCGCATGGCACTGGCACGCTGTTTCTCGTTGGCAGAGAGCGCAGGCGGAGGGGTTCGAGCCAGGCCCGCAGCTGCCCGGGCCCCCCGCCTGGCTGCCCCGCGACGACTGGCTGGCGGAGCACAGCACGGACAGGGGCCCGCTCAAGACCGTGCGGCACACCCCCCGGAATCGCCACCCGCTGCAGCCGTACCTGCAGCACATCGCCAGCCACCACTGACCGGCCGGCGGGCCCTCGCCCGGGAGAGGGCCAGCCCGGCCGCAGGACGGGCCACCCGCACTCCGGACAGATGCTTTGTAGCCCTTAAGTATAGAGATTGTTCCTCCTCTCCACAAAGCTGCTTAATAAAAGCCATCTTGCTATTACTGAGCTGTGCAGAGCCCTGAGGGCGCCAGGCGGGAAGGAGGGGCGACGCGCCACGGGATCCCGGAGCCGAGCCGCCCGACCCAGGGGGTGCCCGTGCCCTCGCTGCTCCGGGCAGGATGGGCGCGCCAGCCTCCGCTCCGCCACTTCAATAAAAAGCACTTTATCATCGCAGAATGCGTCCCCGCATGTTTGTGTGGGCCTCGCTGCTCGCTCTGCCCAGCCGCCGCCCGCCAGCGCCGCGGGGCTCCAGCTGGCCCGGTGGCTCCCCAGCGGTGGCAGCGGCGCGCTCGGGGCGCAGGAGCCCTTTCCCGGGGAGGCGGCCCGGGGAGGCCCGGGCGGTGGGTGGCCCGGCGGCCTCGGGGCTGGGACCGCGGCCGCCGGGCGCGTCTCCCCGGGCCGGCTCCGGGCACCTCCGGTCTCGCCCTCGGGCCGCCACGACGGCGCCGCTCTTCCTCCGCCGCCCCGCCCCCCGCCCGCCCCCGCCGGGAGGAGCCAATCGCCCCGCCGGGGGGACGTTCCCGTCGCCGCGACCGCAGGTGGAGGTGGAGCCCGGGCGCGGGCGGGCGGCTCCGCTCCTGGAGGCTTCCGGCTCCCCGCCCTCCCGGAGGCGGGCAGAACGCAGCGCCCCTCTCTGCTCTGGGCGGCCTGCTGTGCAGACCCCGGGGCGGAGGGAGGGGCCGGGGCGCTCTGCACATGCTCAGAGGCGTGCCGGCCCGTCCAGTTCCGTCCCGTCCAGCTGCGCCGCCGCTGGAGCGGAGCCTCGGCGCGCTCCCGTTCCGGAGAGAAGCTCCGCCCCGGCACAGCCGCGGCTTTGCGCGACCGGAGAGCGTCGTCGCCGGGCCCTGCCGAGGCGCCAGGTAAGGCGGGTGCGCGCGTCGCGGGAGCTTGGGCCGGGCCGGGCCGGGCGCCGGCTGGGGAGGCTCCGGGGCCGAGGCTGCCCGGGCTGGCGGCGGGCCCGCAGCCGGTCTCGGGCCCCCGTGGCGCTCCGGGCTGCTGTCTTGCGATGCCCCCCGGGCCGGCAGGTCGTGGCGAGGAAGCGAGCGGGCCGTTCCCGACCGCGGGTCGGGCGCGCCCCCGGCTCGCCTACCTCCCAGGGCCGTCGTGCGGGTAACGTGGGGGCGGGCGGGGAAGCTGCGTCGGCTTCCTCGGGAGCGGCACAAGGCGGGCGGTGGTGCCCGGGGACCTGCCGCGCCAAGCGCGAGAGGGCGCCGGGGGCGAGGCCTCGACCGGCCCGGTTTCGGCCCCTAGCCGGGAGGGGGCCTTGCGGGGCGCTGCGGGAGCGTCCGGGGAAGGGGGCTGGAGAGGCCCCGGAAGGAAAAGCCGCCGGGGGTTGGGGGCCTGGAGTGGCGGAAAGGGGAGGGGGAGGACAAGAGAACTCGCATCTGGAGCACTTGGGTGAGACGCGGGTGCCCGTGTGCCCACAAGCTCTGTGTCCTTCTGTCCCCAGGAAAGACCGGGAGGCAAGGGGACGGCGAGGGGGCCCGGGAGGTGTGGGGCCCTCCGGGGGGGCGGGGCCCCTTTGCTGCCTCCCTGTGTCGGAATCGGTGGGTGTGAGTCGCTCTGGTTCTGCTCTTGCTCCTCTCAGGTTTGAGCAATCCCGATGAAGGGAAGCAGGCGTGTCCCTGGAGTTGCTCAAGGAGGCTGGGAAAGGATTTTCGGGGGGTTAAGCGAAACAGAGGGCCTCTTCCTGGGTGTGAGGAAAGGGAGGCAGTGGGGGTGGCTGGGTTGGTGGGAAGTGTAGGCCTCAGCCCCGGCACGGTCCCCCTGCCCCCCGGCTGCCGTGTGCAGTGGCCAAGCTCGTGGGCCTGTTCAGACCCCTTTGCGCTCAAAAGGGGGTCTCCATGCTGCCTTCCGGGGAGAAGTAGCAAGCCTGAACTGGAGAACCTCCGACGGGGTGAACGGAGGAGGGAACAGGGTTGAGAAGGGGAGCGAGGAGCAGAAAAGCAGAATGGGGGGCGCTGCTCCCCACCAGCACTGCTCCCTCTGCAAGGCAGGGCAGGGGGTCTGGGGAGCCGCTCTCCCCAGCTTGCGGCGAGGTGAGTGGCACAAACCCTGCTGGTCGCTTCTCAAGTGGCAGCCTTCAGGGCTTCAAGCGCAAGGAAGGCTGAGCGGAAGGGACTTCAGGCACCGGAAGAGCGGAATGACTCACAGCCTTAAATGAGGGTGTGTGGCCCAGAAGGGAAGGCGGTTCCACCAGTTTCAGGCAGGGACTGGTTTTGGATGGGTGGGGGGGGATCCCTGTCCTCATGGCAGGGGCCAACGTGACCTGGCGCTGGCGGGCCCCCCTTGTGGCCCTCCGGGTGGTGCGCGGGGGCTCAGCCCTGCCGGCCCCAGCAGGGAGCGGCTCGCGGCCCCTTGCGTGCCCGACCAGCCCCGGCCGCACGCCTGCAGAGGCCCGCATCCAGCTCCCTCTGCGCTGCCGTGAAGTCTCCGCAGCAGAGCTCTGCCCAGTGGCCTCCTCGTCTTGGAGGACTTGCTGGGCAGGGGTCATGCAGCAGCTGCCTTTCCACATGCAAGGAGAGCCTCTGCCGCTGGGAGACGGCGCCACTTTTGCTGGCCTCTGGGCCTGCTGCCGGGAAGGCCGTGCCTCGGCCCTGGAGCTCTGCCGGTCTGGCAGGTCGTCCTCATTGCCGCCGCCGCCTCCACCGTAGCCCTCAGCGGGAGGCCGTGGGCCCATCCGCGTGGGCGGAGGCCGGTCCGCTCTGCGGTTCGCGGGGCCTCCTGGCCGGTGGAGGAGCAGAGGGCAGCTGATCGCCACTGGGACTCATCCGGAGCGGTGCATCGCCCCACACGAAGCCCGCTAGATTTGGTTGGAACGGGGATAAGAAAGCGCTCTGAATTGCAGGGAGAGGGGCACCAGCCCGTCCTCGTCCGTTCTGGGCCAAGCGCTCCCCGTGACTGCAGCGGCCCTGAAGGATGGGCACCAGGCCTCCTCTTGGTGACCCCTCGGGAAGAGGATTCCTCGGAAAGCCCCCCAAGCAAATGAAGCCCCACATCACATACCAGCAGGTAACCTCGTGCTGGCACAAGCCAGGCGGATCCAAAGGGGGTGTGTCGCAGGCGGAATGGCCCAGGTGGAACCAGGCGCAGGCTGGGGAAGCACCAAGCGCTCGGTGGTCGGGGGGGGCGCAAGGGGCAGCAGGAGCACTTGGAGCCCCAGCAGTTCGGCGCCTCTGGCCTGTGACGCAGCCTTGCCCAGGGGAGGAAGCCCAAACGATGGCAGCCCCGGTGCAGACCCGCTGGGAAGTGTGGTAGGGTTTCTGCCCAGCCCCCTTAGCTTTGTGTGGTGGGGCATCCCTGGCTGCCATGAGCCTTAACACAGCCATTCCCGAGGGGCAGTGCGGTGCAGTGGTTAGAGAGCTGAACTGGGTCTGGGTTCTAGTCCCACTTGGCCACAAAGCGGACCTTATTGGACCTGTCACTGCCTCAGCCCAGCCTACCTCACATGGTTGTTGTGAGGATAAGACTGAGAGGAGGGGGTTACGTGAGCCATTCTGAGCTGCTTGAAGGAAAAAGGTAGGATATAAATATAGTGATTAAAAATAGACAGCATTAGGGGCACCTTGTGGGTTCCCTCTCTTGGACACCCGTGGAGATTGATCTTCTGTGACGGGTGTCCGGCGGAGTTCCCGGCCTCGTCACACGCGCTGTGGCAGGGGCAGGCTGCCGCTGTGATGCTGGCCTCACCGCCACCCGGATCTCCAGCACCTTCCCTTTCCTGTCCCTCCCTTCCAGCTGAAGACGCTGCACTCGCCTGCCGAGCCGCCACTGGCCGAGGAGCCGAGCCCGGCCACGGCCACAGCCAAGGTGGGTTCCCACGCACAGGCCCCGCGGCCCGACTGCGCCCGGCCTTCACGGGCCTCCCCTCCTCCTTTTTCTCCTTAGAGTAACGCCACAGAATGGCCCCGCTGGCGAATCCGTGGGCCACACACAGAGGCCAACATGTGGCTGTTCCAATTGTTTACTCAATTAACGCGAGCTCTCTGGGGGTCCAACCCAGTTTATCAGAACTGGAGGCACCAAGACAGTTACGCGGGTCAACCTGCAGCGAGCATCCAGCTCTCGCAGAGAGAAATACGAGCTGCACGGTGCTTTAAAAGTCTGTCTTTGCACCAAGTCTCCTGCGTAACACAACCGGGTGCCTCCATCATTTCTTGCTCTGCAGTTTTGCGTTCTGAGTGAGCCCCCCTCCATTTTCTTTCGCACAGCCGGCCTGAGGACACAGCCCAAGGGGCCGAAGGGTCCCTGCACCTGATGCCAGATTTAGGCCCATGTGAGGCCCGTCCTCAAACAGTGCCGTGAGGCTGCTGTGAGTGACTTCTAGGCTCATGGTGCAAGTTTCCTGTTTTTAACTGGAAGGAACCATTCAGGAGAAAGATGGAGAGAGACGTCTGAAAGTTTTGAGCCTGCAAGTCTCTAGCACAGTGATGGCGAACCTTTGAGAGACCGAGTACCCAAGCTGCAACCCAAAACCCACTTATTTAGCCCAAAGTGCCAACACTGCAAGAAAACCTGAAAACCGAGGTTTTAGTTGAGAAAAAACAACCCACAGCCAGTCCAAGCAAATATGTATCTATCCTTGGCAGCGCGCTGACCGGCCGCGCGAAAGCTTGGACGAGTCGCGGCTAATGAGTCGTGCCCGTGACGTCATGGCCTGGCGCCGTCCCTCCTTTCCGAGCATGCGCATGGCCCCTGTGTGCGCCGCTATCCGATGCTCGGCTGCTGGGGCGATGCGGGGGCGACTCGGCTCGTGTGCCGACACGGAGGGCTCTGCGTGCCCCTGTGGCACGCGTGCCGCAGGTTCGCCACCGCTGCTCTAGCAGAACCAGGCTGCAGCCGCGGGGGCAGGGACCCCTCTCCTGGCACCCCGTTCCCAACAGTGGCTGGCAAAGCGCCTTGGAGCAGCTCGTGAACAGCCCTTTGAGCAGCTCCGAGTTCGCCCCGTGGCTCCGGGCCCTCCACGGCCGGGCAGCTCCTGCGCTTGCTGCGCGGAACGGGGGGGGTTGCACCCCGGCTGACTGGGCGCGCCCCGTCTCCCTGCCCCCAGGACCTCCGCGGCGTCGCGGCGGCAGTCGCCCTGTGCACGGCCCCGGTGGCCGCCCTGCTGTGCCTCGCGCTCGTCCTGCCCTCTCGCGGTGCAGCTTCCGGAGGGACGGCGGCAGAGGCAGCCGCTCCACGCCCGGACGGCCCGTGCCGGGACCCGTGCAGGTGAGCGTGGGGCCCCACAAGGAGCCTGCGGGTCCCGCGGTGCGGCCCTTCCTGCCCGCAGGTTCGTGGAGTGTGGGTCCAGGGCTGCCCCTCTTGCACTTGGCGCTTTTAGGGTCCCCATCCATGGAAGCAGCGCCCATGAGCGGTTTCTCCGCTGAGGCTGCTACTCGCTCACCGGACATCATGTTGAACTTGGCGGGACTTGTGTCCGTGGCCACGTGGACGCGACTCCTCTGTGGGGCAAGCCGCCGCCTTGCACCTCTGTCCCCGTGGCAAGAGCTCGGTGGCCGGCTTCGTCCCACTGCTGCGCACCAGCCCACTGGGCCCTGGAGCAGACCCTGCACCGCCTCTGAGCCCCCCTCCCAATACGGGGCCTCCTCTTGATCCCCCGCCGGAGCCCACCCGCTGCCCCTGTGGCGCTCCAGCTTCCCCCAGAAGGCTGAGCGTGGTGGGGCCCACGCTCCTGGAAGCTGGGCGGGGGGCCTCGGCCCTGGTGCAGGCAAAAGCTGCCCCTTCCCCCCTCAGGATCGTCCTGGTGGAGAGCATCCCGGAGGGGGTGACGTATGGCGACAACGGGACCCTCAGCCCCTCCACCTTCGAGGCCTGGCTGAAGCTTCTGAGGGACGCGAGAAGCACCGTGGACATTGCCTCGTTCTACTGGACCCTGAGAAACGAGGACACCCACACCCAAGACCCCTCGGCCGGCCAGGTGCGTGGGCAGAGCTGTGACATACCCACTGGGGGAAATGTGCACTTTCGGGACGGAGAACCGAGTGTGTGTGGGAAACCAGTCCCATCAATGAGCAGCCAGCGGAACGAAGTCCCTGGCGAGCTGCAAAGCGTAGATGGAACGGATTGCGGAGCTTGTGCCCCCAGCGGTATGTGCTGAGGGCCCTCTGCTTGGGGTGCGGTGCCTTTACGAGCATCGGCCAAGCCCAGCGAGCTGCCCGGCGTGGAGGCGCCTGCTTACGAGCCTGCCGGACCAGAATGAGTCGCGGGGGACTCCACCCTTGCGGGCGGCCGAGAAATAACTCCAAACCAATTGAGGTGAAATGGCCACTTGCCGTTTTGCCCACAGTGGCCGGCTGTGTGCAGATGGACGGCCCGTCCGCCGCCTTGGCCTCTCCCTTGGCTTGGCCAGGCCGCCTAATTGGGCCTGGAGGCCATCAAAGCCGCCTTTGAGGGCAGTGGAACATCGGTTGATTTGGTTCTTAGTCATGCGGGTTAGATCAGAAAACATGTCTGGAAGACGTCCAAAGCAGCCACAGTTGCAATACGTTTCTGCATTCTTCATGTGAGAAGCCGCAAATCTTCGGCTGCCGTTACCACTGGCCGAGGCAAGAACACGGCAGGGGCCCGAAAGGCCTTGTCCCCACCAGCCCGAGAGCAGCCGGTGTCCCACAGTCATCTTCTGAACTTGCTGGGCTCTCTGTGTGTGCCTTTGGGGCCCCTGGCCAAAATGCCGCCAAGTGCCGGCCAGTTTGTCCCAGTCTTGGGGGCCAGTCGTGGCTGGGGTGCTGCATCTCTGCCACACGGGAGGCAGTCCGTGGTCCCAAAGAGTTCAGTCCATGGGCATCGCTCCCCGTGGGTGGCCGCACAGGCAGGACCCCGTTCCCCAGTCCCGAGGGGCCACGCCGAAGAGTCTCCGGGCCAGGCAGGCCTGGCAAAGCCGCACGGGAGGCCGCGGAGTGAAGCGCCCACGGGGCCCTTGCTCTCCAAACAGGGGGAAGACGTCCTGGCTGAGCTGCTGAAGGTGGCCGGCCGAGGGATCGCCCTGCGGATCGCTGTCAACCCCCCCTCTTCCCACCAGCCCAGTGGCGACCTCCAGGTGCTGGAGGAGAGCGGTGAGTGAGGGCCGACCTCTCCTGCGCATGCTAAAAGGGCACCGCAGAGCGGGAGAAGGCAGGGGAAGTGGCGGCCGGCCAGGGTCTGCAAGGGGAGTTTCTAATACTGGGAGCCTTTTAGGTCAGAAAAAGTGCCAAGCGAGAAGGGCGGCATGTTGGAGAGGTGCAGAATTCTGCCCGGTGTGGAGAAGGTGCAGACAGTCGCCTCCCTCTCCCCATGGGAGAATTCAGCTGGGGCGGAGAAAGAGAAGGGCTCGTGACGAGGCACTTGGCCCCCTCGGGGGGCTCTGTGGGACACACGACGGCTGGCCCCTGCTCGCAGCCAGAAAGGGACTGGCTGGAGGGGGGAGCAGCATGCTGGGGAGGGGGCCGAGGGGCCGGGCTCCAAGGCAAGCCACAGGGTCCGGACGCCCTGCCTGCCGGCTGGAGAGGAGGAACACCGCTGCCCGGGGCCATTCCATCTGGTGGCCAGCAAGGGTGAGGGGATGGGGCAGGGGACCTCCGTGGCCGAGGGTGGCGGGGGGCCCCGGCTTGGGGGGCTTTCAAGGGGAAGGGGAGAGCTTGGCGTCCATCAGCCTGCCACCTCCGGTCGCCCGGTGCGGCTTTAGGGACAGCTGCCTCCCTCCAGGCCGGTCTTGGGGCTCCTGGAGGTCTCTCCTGGGGCTGCGTGGACCCCCCCAGAGCACCACCACCCTCCCCTTTGTGCTTTCTGCCTCTTTGCTCTTCCCCTCGGCTGCCACCTCCAAGTACCACCCCGGGGCTCCTGCGCAGGGCGCTGTGGCCCTCCAGGACCGCCCACAGCCTGGCGGGCCGCGCGCATGGCAGCCGTGTGGGGGCTGCACAGGACTCCCGCGCCCCGTCTGCCCCCTGCAGGAGCGCAGATCCGCAAGGTCAACCTGCCTCGGCTCACCTCAGGGGTGCTGCACACCAAGTTCTGGATCGTGGACCAGGCCCACGTCTACCTTGGGAGCGCCAACATGGACTGGCGGGCCCTGACGCAGGTGATGCTCCCTTCCCGGGGTCCCTGATGCCCAGCGCCGGTCTCGGGGGATGCCCGCTGCTTGCTGGGGGGGGGGGCGCGTGGAGAGGCCCTGTTGTCCTTGAGGGCGCCAATGAAGCCGCCACAGTGATGTGACCGCCTCTCGGATAATCACCAGCGGCCTTCTGTGTCCCCCTCCCATAGCCGAGGGGAGGCAGAAGCCCGCGAGGGGCACCCTGTGGCGGGCACCCACTGGAGGAAGGCTTCCCCGGGAGACCCTGGCCAGGAAGGAACGCCTGCAGCCGCTGCTCCTAGCTGGCCCCCTGCGGCCCTTCCTGCTGTCGGTGGGGTCCCGGTACCGCTCCCGTGTTCCTGCGCGCAGGCCTGGCCGTGGGGCTGCGGCCCCCCGGCCTGGAGGGGAGCCGCCTCCCTCACGCCCCCGTCCCCCGTGGCAGGTGAAGGAGCTGGGGGTGGCCGTGTACAACTGCAGCTGCCTGGCCCGGGACCTGGGCAAGGTGTTCGAGGCGTACTGGGCCCTGGGGCTGCCCAACGCCACCATCCCCTCGCCCTGGCCAGCCAACTACTCCACCTCCTACAACAGAGAGACGCCCCTGGAGCTGAGGCTGAACGGCACCGAGGCCGGCGCGTACTTCTCGGTGAGGCGGCGCAGGCGGGGGCCCCCGAGCGCGGGGGGAGGGGTCGCTGGGCCGGAGCGCCCCTGAAGCGTGGCCCCGCTGTGGGGACGCTGCGGCCGAAGGAGCCCCGGCCCCTGTGTGACGGGCGGGTGGCCTTCCCTTCTCGGCTCGTTGCGGCCAGAGCGCCCCCGCAGCCCTGTGCGCCGCCGGGCGGACGGAGGACCTGCAGGCCCTGCTGGGCGTCATCGATGCGGCCCAGCGCTCCGTCTGCGTCGCCGTGATGAGCTACTTGCCCACCATGGAGTTCTCGCACCCCAAGAGGTGAGGAGCGAGGCGGCGCGGGCGGCCCAGCCCCTCACCCGTGTGCCCGCGTGCGTTGGCCCTCGGCCCGCGGCCCGCCCTGCAGTCGGCCGCCTCCCCCCCTCCTGCGCCGGCACCGACGGGCAGCCCCGGCCCAGCACTCGCCTTCCTCTGGGGGGCGAAGAGGCTGCCGCCCCCGGGGGTCGCACCTGCGGCTATTCTGCAGACGCGCTGCACTGAGTGCGGGGGGCCGGGGGCTGTTGGCTGAGGTAGCGAAGGGAGGGGCTGCCGTGCACGGGAAAGCCCCCCTGTGAGTGGCCCACTCCTCGGAAAAGGGCCGCTCAGAGCCCTTCCTCTTGTCGCTCGCGCTTCGGCCCTGAATTTTCCAGGTCGGCCTCTGTTTGGGCCGGGTGGGAGCAACGGGCGATGGGGTGGCGGGGAGACGGCGTGTGCTGCGAGAAAAGGTTGCTCAGCCCCCTGGGAGGGAATGGCGGCCGGGGGTCCCGCTCCGGCTCCCCAGGGCTCTCTCCAGAGGCGAGCTTGTGCCGTGCGCTGCCAGGAGGTTGCCGAGGGGAGCGGGGCCCCCAAGGCCGCCACGCCGGGCACCCCACGAGGTCTCCCCCGTGCACTTCATCTGCCCCCCCAGGTTCTGGCCGGTGATCGACGACCACCTGCGCAGAGCGGTCTACGAGCGGGGTGTCCGCGTCCGGCTGCTGGTCGGCTGCTGGAAGCACTCCAAGGCCTGCATGTTCCCGTTCCTGCGTTCCCTGGCCGCCATGCAGGACAACCGCACCCGCTACAGTGTGGAAGTGGTGAGGGTCTCTGGGGGAGCGGCCCCCGCCGAGGGAAGGCGCAGGCTGCTCCTGGCACGACCGCGGCGAGCACGGATGGCGCCGGAGCCGGGAGAGGCCTGGCTGGGCCCCGTGCCCCTGGCCGCTGCCGCGGCGGGGGATGGCCTCCCCTGGGGCAGGGGGCGGGGGGCGGGGCGGGGGGCTCCCGGCCGGGGAGATGGGGCCAACTCCCCCGCTGGTTTCTCACTGGCCGGTGTGCCCCTTTCCTGGCCCGCCATTTTCTCTGCAGCGGCTCTTTGTGGTCCCGGCAAACGAGACGCAGGCCAAGATCCCCTACGCCAGGGTCAACCACAACAAGTACATGGTGACAGACGAGGTGGCCTACATTGGTGAGTGGCGGCCGGGGGCGGCCGGGGGCCGTGGCTGGGAGCAGCTGCCTGGGGAAGCGCCGAAGGTGCCGTGGGACGGGGAAGGGGCGCAGGGGGTCGAGGGCGGCGGGGGTGCCCAGAAGACCTCTGGGCCTCCCCCTGCAACTCCGTCCAGCACGCATGCGGGCAGCGATCGGCCAGGCGCAGGCACCTGCCGGGCCGTGGGGCTGGCGGGGGGTGCTCCCCTGAAGTGCTGCGAGGGCAAACCCGGCCGGTGCCGCATCCTCGGAGATGCCGGGCCCTGGACACCGGCGAAGGGTCGGAGAGCGAGCGGCTGGGGCTGCTCTCTTGGTGGCTGGCCGGGCCCAGTCACTCACCGGGAAGCCTCGCTGGCATTGATGGGATGGGACCGCTGCCCCACGCGTGCCTTCCGCTTCCCCCTCCCCTTCCGACAGGGACTTCCAACTGGTCTGGGGACTACTTCCTCCACACGGCCGGGTCTGCCCTGGTTGTGAACCAGAGCGGTGTGGCTGCGGGGGACCAGGCCACGGTCCGGCGGCAGCTGCAGGCCATCTTCGACCGGGACTGGGACTCGAGATACAGCCAGCCACTGCGCTCCCTGGACTGGAGCGAGGACCCCTGCGGGACCCATTAAGCGATCCCCTCCTCCCATCCCGCACGGAACGGACCGCGGAGGTGCTGCTGTCGTGGTGGTTGGTGGGGGCCGCAGATTTCGCAGGGTCTCCGGCCAACGGGGGCCCTTCATGGAGCGAGCCGGGTGGCTTCCCAGGCTGACGCTTTGGCCTGTGAGAGGAGAACTTTTCTCAGCGAACTTTTGGAGAGGAATGGAAGCACAAAAGCAGGGAACTCATCTTCTGACTTGGGGTGGGGGGGGCAATAGACTGCTGCCCAGCTGGCCTATGCAAGGCGTGGGGAATGCTGCGGAGAGACGCCCGGCACACGCCGGGTCAAACACGACACCACCATGGAGGGGCAGAGTGCGCTCTGTTGTGCTGAGGGGGGAGGGCACCGGGGGCTGCTCCAGATGTTGTTGGACTACAGCTCCCATCAGCCCTAGCTAGTAGAGCCTGTGATGAAATTGGAAGTTCAAGCCAAGCAACGTCTGCAGAGCTGCAGGTTTCCTGCCCTGGTTTAGGTGTTAGAAAAAGGTTGTAAGGCAAAGCGCGAGACAAACTTAGCTGCCCAAAGAATTGCAGGCGAGGGATCCTGTTCCTGACTCCGTTTCCTGACTTTTTAACAAAAGTGCCAGGCTGCGTGTTGGTGGAGGGCTGGCGAAATACGGAATTTGGCACTGCTGGGGAGACGGAGGCAGCGCAGGATGTGGGACGCGTCTCCCGGATCTCGTGGGGGCTTCCTTCTGAATGCGCCTCAGCGGATGGTGCTGCAAGAGGGTCCCCCGAAAGCCGCACCAGATGCAGCAGCAAACCCCCACAGAGGATCTCACGGTGCCTTAAAGACTCATCCAGTGGGTGCAGAAGCCACTTTGATGCAGGGGAGATTTCGGCTGGAAAGGAAGGCTGATGCTTCCCCGCCTGCCCACGGCCCGTTCCCTGTGCCCTTGCGGTGAGCAGCCGGCCGGCGGAGGTCCTGAGAAGCGGGCGAAGCGGGCGGCGCATCGGGGGGGGGGGGGC